ATGAAAACTTTACATGCGATTTGGATGCTTACAACGACACCTAGAAAAGGAACTCTAAAGCTGTTGTATTTCAGCAACATTTTTAAGTGTTTTACAAAAATGCTCATAACTTCGACAATTTCCAACCGATTTCATTCATTAAAGGCTCATTTTCTCCGGTTTTGAATGGACTTTAAGAATAAATTATGGAATGATTTTTTAAATCTTTTGATCCCATTAAAAATGTTGATTAAAACAAGATTTTTATGGAAAATTCGCAGGAAAAATAAAAAAAAATGCTGTAAATTTTTAAATGACTTCAAAATTAAATTTTTAATTAAGACATAATATTCAAGTGAACGATAGCAAACTTATTTAGCTTCATTTTCATAAAAAACGATTTAAAATTGGTGCACTAGTTCCAAAGATATTGACATTTTAGTAATCGTACTTTTGCTCAAAATTCAAAAAATCAAAATTTTTGTATATCTCAAAAATGGCTCTACTTTTATTTTTTCTGACCACGGTATTGAATTCAGCATAGGATTTTGCATTGGAAATGATCATCACCTTACCGAGTTCAAAAATGCTGTAAACTAGTGTTATTTGACATCATGTTCTAAGAATCATATATTTTTAGTAAATGATAAAACGTTAAATTAATAAGTAACATTTTGACCTTTAGCGGCTTCTCAATGCAGAAAGTTGTTAACGTGAATCAAGTTAAAAATAAAGTAATACATTTTAAAGGCTACTCCACTTCTCTAAATTCAAAGCTCCTTCTCATTAATCAAATTGTATACACAAATCTTCAAGACTAGCAAAACAAAAACGGTCTTTAAAATTTCTTGCAAACGTTGAGGTCAGTAAAAGCATTTATTTTTTATTCGTTTTGTGTAAGATTTGTGTATTTTTACTCAATATATTTATGTTACAAGATCTCGGCAGATCACAAATAATTGCCGCCATTTTTTTTTCGCTAAAATTCAATATCTTGTAAACACCTCATAAAATTTTATTCCCTAGTTTGAAATGGTCATAAGAGTCTCAAAAAGCTTGAAAGTTTCTATTATACAATTTTCAGCTTAAATTTGAGAGGATCGGAGTAGGTCGTGTGTTTTTATTTTGGTGCTGTTTGTTTTTATTTTGTTATTTTTAATCGGTTTTCAAACAAACATCTTTTCCTTTTTATTTATTTATTTATGTTACGATTATGTTTTAAATTAATTTCATTAATCCAGTACTATCGTGGGTTTATTCTCAAGTCCCTAAAAAAAAACAACAATATGCTTTTTGTCGCACTGATCTTGCACTGATCATTTTATTATATTTTAAACCATTTTATTGTTCACTTCGTGACCAGAGATGTTATGCCTCAGAACATCCCGGCGGTGCCGACTGGGATTGAACCCAGGCCTGCTGGGGTGAGAGGTAATCACGCTTACCACTACACCACCGGCGCCACTAGGAATAATGCTGTGGAGTAAACATTATTTCCAATCCAAATAAGCATACCATAAACATGACTGTTGCTATTCCCGGCCATACCTGTTGATGTTGTACTTACTTAGTGACACCCTCATAAGTACTACGGAGTTGGAGAATTGGGTAGAATTGGTTGAGCATGGAAAAATCCGGACACATTTAAAACGTCACGTCAGCCTTTTTTGAGTATTTTTTTTTTTTAATTTCTCTAAATCAAGCTAAGAGGGTATATTATCACAGTAGGCATTGATTTTCAGGATTAGTTCATTTGTTTACATCATGGCTTCACCGGAACAAGCACGTCACGATTCGATCATGCACGCTCGAATCGAAAATGCCAGTGTATCTGCTCCTGGCAGTTTCCAATCAAATTCCAGAACAGACATTTTATACCTCGGTTGACCGGAAGAGTGCCCCGGAAGAATGTAAAATCAAAAAGAAGATGAAATTCGCCCAATAGTTCTTTGTCTGGCAAGCAATCTGCAGTTGTGGGCTGAAAAGCGAAGCTTTCGTTACTTCTGGGACCATGAACCAGCAAATTTACCAGGAGGAGTGCTTACGGAAGAGACTTCTGAAGCAACATGCCTTTTCTGGCCGGACTTGGCAAGCTGCCACTACTCAAATTCCACCAAACAGTGGTACAGCGAAAATGGCATCACAGTGTTTCCCAAGGAGATGAATTCGACCAATACTCCGGAACTAAGGCCAATTGAGGAATACTGGTCAATTGTGGAGCACATACTGAAGAAAAAGGGTGGAACTGCAATTGACCTGAAGGATTTCAAACGGAAATGGAATATGGCAGCCAACCCGTGGAAACAGGACTCGTGAAAAAGATGATGGGCCGTGTACGATGAAAAGTTCGAGCAATGACCTATGGTAAGAAGGAAGACTGGAGCAATGGTCTTACAATAAGCATAATATAGCGGCGCTGGTGGTGTAGTGGTAAGCGTGTTTACCTCTCACCTCAACAGGCCTGGGTTCAATCCCAGTCGGCGTCGCCGGGAAGTAAAGCAGTTGGTCCTCGGTTCATGAGTTGAGGGGTCGATAGGTAGGGTCCGGGTGTGGGAGCTGCCTTCCTGGCGTCGGTAGCATTGGTGCTCAGCACGAAAAACAAATCGAAGAAAAAAAAAGCTTCTTAGCATTTGGAATTAATTTAATCTAATGTTGTAAATTTGGAGATTTATGTCTATGAGTGTTTCATTCTTCAACATTGCTAAGAGTAACTGTACTTTTCACATGTAAATATTACACATTCAGAATTATCATGAAATTCTCCTTAAACTTCCTAGAAAATTCCACTCAAACTCCCTTCATAACTATCATGGAATTGTCATTTGAATTCCCTTTAAACTCTCCAATACTTGAAATCCTTCTTAAAAATCCTTTATATATTTCATGAGGATTAGATTCTTAATGAGCGCAATAGAATCATCAAGTTGCCATAAGGCACGGAATGAGACTATTGCATGGCTGGGTAGTCAAAGTCTTCCATTCGTTAGTCATTTCAGGTGGATTAGAACAGGTTTAGGTGGGCGTTGGCCAGATTTGGATTTTTCAGATGTAATCCTGGATAGGACCCTGTCATTGAACGTCGCGTGAAAGTGGAACTTAATGAAGGCCTAAGTACTTTTTCGTAGTTTTTAGTTTTCGGATTTGAAAGATCGTCGGTTACAGTGGCCTGCTTACTGAGCAGAAAAACGCGGTCCCAGGTCCTTACATATCAAAGAGATTTATGGTAAAATCGCTTGTGTATCGTGTATTTTGCGAAACTCGTTGTTGTCGTTGGTTCCGGGTTTGAATGGATACAATAATTTGAGCAACGGTATTATGTGATATTAGGGGCTTACTGAGCAGAACATCATGAGTCTAATCTCAGGCCCATCCACATTCAAGATTCGTCAATCGTTTTATTTGTTAATATGACTACATGGTAATAACAGCAACTCGGTGATTAAAAAGGTGCTCGTCTGCCTAGTGGCAAACGTTTTTGCTTACTGAGCAGAAGACCGTGGGTTTAGTCCCAAGCTCCTTCGCGTTATATGATCGTTAGGAAATCAATTCAGCTTATCGTTTACCAAAACGAACCCTGCTGCAAACCCAACCCTCTTATCCAACATCCCAGTGATTCCTCGTGGAAGTGCAGAGGTGTTCTCGGCTTCCATCAAAGCGAGTGTCATGTCAACACAATCCTTCCCATTCCTTTCTTGACCTGTGTTCGGGCGCGGCCGGCGCTGGTATTGCCTAATTTAAGTTCACCAGTTTTTACACATTGAGGATGATTGCTAGTCCCAAGCATCGTCTATTGGTTCTCTGTGTAATTACAGCTGATCTGGCAATAACAGAGTAGCAACCGTGGGCGGTCAAGCAAGCTCAAGCTCAAGCTTCATGAGGATTAGATTCTTAACATTTTCCTTGAAGTTTTAAGTTCGCAGAAATCCTTAAAATTTTGTTCTGATTTTTTTTTTCAATTTCGTTCCTTAATTTTTTTAGCTTTCGCCAGAATACGATTGCTTTGATTTTTTCTGGATACCCGGTGAAGATCTTTTTTTCTGGATTCCCGTTGAAGATCACTCTCTCTCTCTCAGCATTATTTTGAAATTATCCTCAGAACACCCAATGCTTTTCAGAACATATAATGCTTTTTGAATTCAGATTAGAATTTCTGAAATCTTCCTTAAAATTCATCTGCTCTTCTTTTCACAATTTTCATTCCTTGGATTTGATCTCAGAGTTTCTTAGGGTTTAATCTCAAAACTATGTTTGAAATTGACACAAAACTTCTATACAAATTTTCCACAAAATCCAAAATTCTGTGATCTAGGTTTTGATTTCAATCCCTTATATTGAGTATTTTTATTTTTGAATATATCAAGTGACCCATTCCGTTGAAGATTCTTTCAGCTTTAATACAATGCTCCTGTATGAAGTTTTGCTATGGAAGATGTTTTACCAAGAAATAACTTGTCTCGTGGCCACGATTTAAAAAATGTTTTTGTTTTTTCAAACTTTCGATTTTAATGCGCATTAAAAACTAGGAATATATTTAGATTCGTGCAAGGAAAACCGGGAAAAATAGAAATTTTGTGGGACTCAAAAAATCGCAAAAATCTACCTTTTGGTTTTGTTTGAAGTTCATTACGTAATAGCTAAAATATGTTTTAATGTTAACTTGCTCAAGAATCTAAAGAAAACATTGTTTGTTTGGATCTCTGATATCTTTCGCCAATATTTTTAGAAAAATCCAATTCAAGAAAAATTTTTCTTAATTTAAGAAATCCTCCCCATAATTTAAACGTTAGACAACAAGAGTGAATTTGTTTGTGCAGTTTTTAGAATCAAACCCCACCCTTTATTGATAGATAATGCTTAATGAATCATGATTTTAATAGGCCATTCAGCTCTTAAAGTTTTATCTCATCAAATTTTGAACATCAATGTCAATGTCATGTGTCAGTGACAAATGACAAAAAAAAAAACATTATGTTTGATCATGAGAGGTAGTTTTATCTGAAAGAGAAAAACCTAATGAAAATTTACAGCTCTAATCGTAGTATCTTAGAACATATTTATTAATATGTCATTAATATTTATCGTTGTTCAACGATCGGTCCCAGTCTCGTGCACGGTTCTCTTCAGTTACTGTTGAACTACATTCAAGCATCCATCCACCCATCATCCAATTTTACACCTCCTGCTTGAATGAATAATGAAAAGAGATCCCGATCCCACCCAAAAGCAATTAAAGCAATATCTTTATGCTCTTCTTCGCCATCCGATGATAAGCGACCTACGAAGCTATAACAATCGTCCTCATGTACCGAGTACAGATGCGCGACAAGTATAGAGCTGCTTTTGTTCATGCCAACACCACGCTCACTCGACCAAACACCAGTCTCACCCGATCCGCCACTCATTCGATCGCATCTCGTCGATTGTGCTGCAGATCGACCACCCCCCTTGCCTAAGCGGATTGCCTCATATGATCACGAGTGCGAAGAGGCTGTTGTCGGCGGGGTCTCGATGATGGTAATGACGGTTCAATAGGACGGAATGGAGCTTGGAGGGATTAGCCAATTGGCCGTTGTTGGTTGTCTCTTTCTGGTGGCTGACGGCAAAATATGTGTATGTGTTTGTCCGGTGCATTTGCTAATGCGGAGAATGTGTGCTTAGTTTTATGCTATTTTCGATATTATTCAGCGAAGGTACTTACGGGTTGGTATCTTAGCGACCGTGCGGAAGGTGTGTGAGAGAGTGAAAGAGAGTTCGCGGTTCATCGCAGGAGAGAGCAACTTAGCGAGTGAGAGTAACAAAATCCGCGAGTTGATGAGGAGGCACAATGGAGCACATTGTTTGATCTCACGAGCGTGGTTTCTTGTTGTGATTCTCTGCGTAGTTCGTCCGTTATGCCATCCTCAAGCGAAGGTGGGGAAAGGGATCGCGTTTGAAGATCAACTGGCTGCTTTTCTTTTTGTTGATTTTCGTCGTTTTATGGTTAGTTTGGTTTCTCTCGCGAGTATCTTGAGGAGTCCATGTGTGCGGTTGCCTTTTGTGGGGGACTCTGGTGGCGCTCGCATTGTGATACTGCGCTCATTCGACTCGCTGAAGTGTACGCGAATAGATATCAAAGACGGTTGGGTATTTTCTCGTCTTCCACCGTCGTCTCGGTGGTTCGTTCGTTCACTGACTGACTTGAGTTGGAGTTGTCGTGCTCGCATCGATGGTCTACTGCGTGCAACGATCAGGATTATAATCATCATCAAAGTGCGCCTGGTTCCGGCGGAGTATGGAATAATTTGTGTTCCGTTAGTGGATAGTTCGTTTGAAGCAAATGATCCGTAGAGTGAAGTGATGGCATCGATACCAACTAAACAGGCAGAACTCCCTATAGGTTCAGGAAGTGCCCCGTTTCGTGTGTCGATGACAATTTGAGATTTCCGTTTTGAACAAGTGCGGGTGTACGTAGTGGGAATTGGAAGCAATCATAAACACCGATTCACGGAAGCAGTAGTCGTGATTGAGTGATAATCAAACCATTCGTGACCACCTGATACCGATGAAGAAAGGTGCAAGAAGTGATGATAAATGTGGTGGTAGATGGTGATGTGATTACTATCGAATCGTGCAGATTTGGATTGCATCGTTGATGGTGTGAATATTTTTGGAGAAGAAGACGAAAGTCCAGACCCGGTAAATGGATTAGAGCGAAACGTCCGAACGACACACTACTGGATTGCCGACGAAAATGACGAAGGTGCTTCTCTGGCGATGATATACTGAGAAATGGTTCGGTGCATCCGGAGAGGAAATTGATTTTTGCCGACGGTAATTTTATGCCAATCTTGTTTGATTAAATGGTGCTTAAGTGATTGCACTTTTTTGGAATTAGGTGCCAGGTGGTTGTTTATCGCAGACGGATGTCTGGAATCAGTTGATATTTTCGATGACGTTCGTTAATGATACTCATGATGCATAGGATGTGCTGGGTGACAATCATATACAATTTGCTTGTATGATTGGTAGCATTTTAACGTTCCTGAATACACCTATCCGAGAAATGTAAAATTTTTTCACAGATTTGTATAAAAAATATACATGTATACAAATTGGTTGGCATTGAAAGCTTTCAATTAATAACTGTGGAAGTGCATCTTAAACACTAAGGTGTGAGGCGGATAATCACTCGCAATAGAAGCGTGAAAAACTTAGAAGATAGTTACCAAATTTTGCTTATTTTATCTATATACTTGTCTACAGTTCTTCCATCTTTTCAATGTTCTGGAGCAGCATCGACTATTTTTTAAAAAATTACAAAATTTACAATGTTCATAACATTAAAACAAATGCTAACATTATGAATTCTACAAATCATTGTACTTTGACGCAGAATTTATTGAATTGATAAGTTTCACTAAATTTCCCAAAAAATCAAAATTTAAACGATCAAATTTATCGAAAATATATATAGTAGGGTGATTCAAAATATCAACCACCAGCTTCACCAGGCTCAATCTAGTCTGAATCTGGTATTTAGAATATTTTTGAGTATATTTTGATACAGACTCATTCATACTGAGAAATTGGCAATATTTTAAAAATCATTGTTCAGCAATTTATAAATCGATTTTACATCTATTTCAACCGAAAAAATTATTTAAAGTCTGTAGCTTTAAATGTCGCCAATAGATTTGAAATTTGTCAATAAATGACTGAGTTATGGTTTTTCAAACATTGCAAGTTTGCCGTTACATATTTTACCGGAGGCATCGTGTTCAGAGTGTTAAAGTTTATATGGGAATTACTGTGTCAAAAGTGATTTTTTTTTTGTTCTAATAGAACGCACTTCGCCATAATGATTTACGGGTAATATGCACATATGTGACTATGCTGAATATCATGTTTTGAGAAGACTTTCAGGAAATTAGTTATTAATTTATTTTGAAGCTGATAACTTTCTCATATGATTAATCAAATGCTTTTAAGGCCAAAATGCACTTATGACATAGTAGCCTGGATTTTTAACCTGAGTAGTTTATGGAGCATGTCAGAAGATTATCACATTCCTAATTAATTAATAAGTAACTATCCTGATGTTAAATTTAAGCTTGATCTTCAGCAAAGTTTCTGATGACAAAATTTCACATTAGTACAGATAGAAAACTTATCCGTAGCTCGGTACAGTCGGATTAAAAAGCTTTCTATTTTAATTGCCTCTTTCACGGTCTCTTCCGTGCATGAATACCCTCCATATGTAAGGTATTTTTGTGGTTATGTTGCCCCATCGGTAGAGTTGACGTTTAGCGCTTTTTTTTTAATCGAAACCAAATCACACCAAATATCAGTGATGTCCTATTTTTGAATTACTCGATATTTTTTGTTCACTGTGCTGTAATTTTCCCACCAATAAGAGTTTGAAACGATGGAAGATGCTCTTTTGGAGAAGTTAATGCGTCTTTGACGTGAGATAACCGATTACAAATATTTTACTTTTCGGTTCGTTAATCGATTTAGCGATTATTCGAATAAAAATCGAACATCACTAGATGAATGTTAAACGTCATTTCAAATATAAGGACCGTTTATAAATAATGAGATAATTTGAAAGGGACCGGGGCTAATCACAAATTACGTCCCCAAGCATCGAGAACAAAACACGAGTGCTGACCGGTTGGTATGAGTTCGCCTACAGCTCAAATTTTGGGAGAATTACCAGGACCTGATTTTAAATCAATTGAGCTCGGAGCTTGGATCTCAACCAAGCTCCGAGCTCAACTGATTTAAAATCAGGCCCTGGTGATTCTCCCAAAATTTGAGCTGGATGTGAACTCATGCCTACCGGTCAGCACTCGTGTTTTGTTCACGTTGGTGATTATCCGATATTTTGATCCACTTTTATATATAGAGTGTTTTGACCCTTCCTTACTTTTTATACATCTAGCGTTCAGAATCAGTGATCGAGTGCACTGGTTGTTGTTTTTTTTTTAAACTAATACAACTATTTTAATAAACTGTATTGATACGGAAATGTTTCGGGAAATTGGTTCTTTTGACTGTGAATGCTAGACAAATTATTTCCAGGGTCCATGAAAGTCCTTCAGTGGTCAAACTTTAGCCAATTGACATTTGGGAGCTTACTGCATTCTTATGCAAAAAATGCGCGTAAACATAATTTATTCTCTGATGATGAAACATTGAGGAACTGAAAATGATGCCAATTTTACCAGATTTACGTTTATTCTCAAAATTGACAACCTAACCAATATTACGAAACTAAATAATATCATTTAATTTACTGCAAATGATGACCTAAGACAGGAATTTTCAGATCGTGCTCTGCGAAGCATATCCAAGTAAACATCAAGCCCGGTAATTGTCATTTGTGCAATATAATGCTGATATACTCCGCTCATGGCAAGTCCGTCCCATATCATAAACCAGCAAGCCGAGAAAAACGCATCTTAAGTTTGCTTCGTAACATTGCTTCTAACGCTATGAGACAACCGGTTTTGCTGTTTTTCCAAACCTTTCCAGAACAAAGTTGTTGAGTTCATACAATATTATGAAAATATGGCTACAATTCACATTGGGAAACTTAGTTTTAACAAAAATGCAAATGGATCCGACTTGCGAAGAGCGGCAGTTTACGGCTAAAATAAATTTCAAAAGCTCTTTTTTAATACTTATGTATATTGTATATTGCTATTGTAATTTCTATCATTTCATGACATGTCTCAGAACTTTAGACGGTTTATATGATATGTGACGCTCCTTTTATGTGCACCATATAGAACAGAAATTTACACTACTTTTTCGAACTGTGTAGAAATTCATGACACACCCACGCAAACCAACATCGTCATCGGGTAGGTAAAGGATTGATTTGAATGACAGTGTCTTGAATTCCTAGAAATCCTCGAGCGAAGGTATTGTTTGTTATTCTAACTCTATTTAGATTTGGTTAAATGGAGTAAAGATAGCAGTTCAAATTCAGACGGAAAATTACAATAAATATTGGCAGCTATGGAAACGTTATATTAAACCTGGGAAAAACGCACTTTTACTGCGTAGTGAGAGGAGCAAAGCGACGGGCATGCGTCTAGAATGAGCTTCTTCTAGAGCATTTCAACGTATTATAATTATTAAAACCCTATATCATAAAATATTAGATAGCAAAAATGGTGAGGAATATGAGACAATTCAAGATCGCCAAAATATTTCCAATTGATGTTCTTGCAGATTTATAAGTTCCGATTTTTTTAAATATCAACAAATCTTGATTTTTTACCACATACCGTGGTAGAGGTAACAATAGCTGCAATTTCCAAACCTACGACTGGAAGCCTTTCTTCAAATAACAACTTGAGTGCGGTAAAGTCGATAGAATTGTTTCAAACACATTGTCGGTACATGAGCGAGTCGGCGATGATCTTTTTGCCAGTGGTGGCGGGGGGAGAATACCCCTCACCATCCCTCACCAACAGGGGAGTTTGGTAAAGAGAGATGATAAAACCAATTTGTACCTTCTTAAAAAGTTGTCCTAGCTCGCTACCTAAATTTTCAAACTGCCGTACTCTGTCGGAACTATCAACTCTATACTTTCATCTCCTCATCTATCGTATATAAATTACCACTTTAGTCTGTTATTTGAAATTAGCAGCTTCAACTATGTAAATCTCGATTACTTTTTCGAATGGACGTATCAGCTTTTGTAAACAATGCATTTGATCGTCGATTTGGCCTAGCTGGTAGCTCGCCCCCGCATGTTAACACTACCATCAGATAGGGTCAGGCATGGCAAATCATTTACATTCATTTCGTGCATTCATTTACATTCATTTGCCTCTAACTTTTTCCATCAACAGAATTCCGTTAAATGATGTATCAAACATTTGTACGTTTTGATATTAACTACAACTTTTGTCAAAAACCCCAATCTGTATCTCTTATGCATGACGAACTAGAGCGGACAGAACTTGTTACTATTCACTGAATAACAAAGGTAAGTTCTGTTCGCCCCAGTTCATCATGCATAAGATATACAGATTTGAGTTATTTAAAAAGATTGTAGCTTATATCGAAACCTACAAAAGCTTCATACATCATTTCATGGAATTCTGTTGATGAAAAAAGTTAGAGGCATATGAATGTAAATGAATGCACGAAATGAATGTAAATGATTTGCCATGCCTGTTTGTACCTTCCTAAAAAGTTGTCCTGGCTTGCTTTCTACTCTCTATATACAATTCACACTGCCGTACTCTAAAGGAACTATCAACTCTATACTTTCATCTCCTCATCTATCGTATAAAAATTACCACTTTAGTCTGTTATTTGAAATGAGCATCTTCAACTATGTAAATCTCGATTACTTTTTCGAAAGGACGTATCAGCTTTTGTAAACAATGCATTTGATCGTCGATTTGGCCTAGCTGGTAGCTCGCCCCCGCATGTTAACACTACCATCAGATAGGGTAAATGTTCCCCTACCTGACAGTTGTGTTAGTATACGTGTGCGAACTTTCAGTTGCGCCATATCGATGATCAAATACATTGCTTACAAAAGCAGATACGTCCCTTCGAAAAAGTAATCGAGATATATTGATTTTATTTTACAAATATTGGGTCTTAATTTTTTTTTCTAAATTCTACGACTCAGGCTTCCGAGCTATAGACATAAAAAATCAAAAAACTGTGTCATATTTGAATTGCCCCTTAGGGCATACATATATTCTTGACTTAAACTAAAGGGACCATTAAACTATTCTGTCCATGAAAAAATATCAAAATTTATCGCAGAGTAAAGTGATGCAAAAATTGTCTTACAA